TGAGAGTAAACAAACTGGAAGTCTGGGAGTTGTAACTGAACAGCTGTCTGTATTGTGTAACGTGTTACTTTGTGACACTTCGGGGTCTCTACTTCACTGGGAAGTCACATCTCTGTACCATAATGTCTTGTGTTAAAGAGGATCTTTCAGAAACATTAACAGTCTGTACACGCTGATCCCCGTCACAATATGCAGCAATTTCATACCAGCTCAAGCTTTCATCATCAAAAGCAGGCTGAGATGTCATCACTCTGCTGCAGGCAAGAGGAAGCATTTCCTCCGTCTCCTACCCCAGTGATCAGACTATACATTGAATATTTATAGCAGGTCACGAGGAAAAAAAGTTCCACAGGGGCTGATCATTTTCTAAACTGTAGAATACCTCTCATGGCTGGTTATATCCTCTAACCTTTTTCAGTCACTTCCTGTCTACATGCACTTGGTTCATATCTGCTGCACATTATTGTTCTGGACCAGCGGCCTGAAGGTGCCCATACACCTGCCAATTATCGTTCGATAATCGGGGGCGTTCCCACGACCGTACGATAATTGGCAGGTGTATGGGCAGCGTGCGCCCGATTCTACTGTAAGGTCGCACGACATTCGTCTTCCACGCACACTTTAAAACCTGCCGAAAATCGTACGATTTTCGGCGGGTTAGTGGCATGCTCGGGAGACGAATGCCGCACGGGCCGGTGTGCACAAGCGCTCACTGACTGCTCAGCACTGCAACCATCGGAAGCCCTCCCCTCAGCGAGGAGGGCTTGCGGTGATCGCAAGTATGATCTGCCTGTCCAAGATGGGCAGATCGTACGAAATTTTAATTAAGTCGTGCGATGGTTGTAAGGTATATGGCCAGCTTGAGAGTGACAACAATGGACCATGCCTGCAAAATCTACATAGGTCCAACCACCTGTAATCTTTTCCAGCCACCTGTAATCTTTTCCAGAAGTGTAACAATTGGGCAGCAGTTGTCACCCCATAACAAGTGGCTGACCAGATTTATTTTTATGAAAGGGTGGGATTTTAAGACACGGTATCCTTGCCCAAACAAGGCAGAGTCTCTGCAAAAGCCCACCCCTCCAACTTATACCCACCAGCCTGCGCCCCCTCTTCGCTCCATCCTTTTGCCAGCACTTTCAGTGATCATGCTGACCCAGGCACTGTCACATGACCATGACCAACCCCCCAGGTAGCCGATACAGCTGATTTCAGCACTGGCTGCAACAGAGAAAAAAGTGGCAGGGACATAGAGGCAGGCTGACCATAAAGGGGTGAGGTGGCCCTCTGCAACTGTCACTTTGCCCTGGATGAGCACAGCGAGTGTCTCTTTAAAAAGACTTTAAAAACAACTTTAACAAACATTTTACCTTAACATGTTAAAGCTGATGAGATTTTCATGAATGTATTAGGGTAGACCTGCAACCACAGCTGGGAGCACCTTAGAGAGGTGGATTCGAGGGACTGGTTGCACAGGTAACGGGAGCAAGGAATAAGATAAGTCAGGGTTTGGCAATCCCAGTTGTGTTAAAACTACAAATCCCATCGTGCTTCTGGGAGTCATGTGTATGGCTGCCAGTCTTGCAATGCCTCAAGGGACTTGTAGTTCCACAACAGCTGGAGTGACTAGGTTGCCTACCCCTGGAGGTATTACTCTTTATCCCTCTATACCTAACAAGCATTTAGCCCTCGCTGTCCACTGGATGAGGGGCGCAGCAAGATTAACTTTTTTTGTGGCCAGAATTGCGCTTTGAGATGTACATGTTACAATCACACTGCACAACCTTTTTCACGATCAATCAAAACGAATATAAGCACCGACCTAAACTATATCCAATCAGCCAGGCTCTTGCACTACACAGCTGATCTAAAGAAGATTGTAACGTGTGTGTGGTGGGCTTCTGGGCTCTAACAGATCCCTCCAACTCCTTGAGATTAACCAGCTCCAACTTTGCAGTCACAGAGAAAGCTGGAAGTTGTAGCAGGGAGGTGCTAAGTAGCGATTAGCACATGGTCGATGCCAGGAGATGTCTGCCCGATAATTGCACTCATCCAGGTCGCATTGCCACTTATAGCCTGGGAATAGCAGAGGGGACTATTTATATCAGCGCAGTGCAGGCCTGCAGCGTGCCAGAGAAAGCATGGGAGACACGCCAAGGGCCTGATCATCCCCCATGGCGCTGCACGATCCCCACACAGGAACGGGTGGGAGGGATGGGGGAGGAGGAGGAGGCCGTCCTGGCGGTAGCAGCCACACCGGTGAGCGATCTGTGAGCCCCAGCCGACTCACGTGGCGAGGAAGACCGTGCTTATGACAAGCGGGAAGAGGCGGCACTGCTCCTCGGTGTAGCCCGGAGAGGTCGGTGTGTTTTACATGGACACAATGTAACATGGTAATGACACATGGAGCAGCGCACAACGTGCTCAGGAGGTGTGCAGAGCGGCGCCCAGGCCTAGGACAGGGACCCACGTTGCCTGTCTGCAGGGAGGATGCTGGGTAGCGGCGGTGGGCGGGGCCAGGGGAACGCTGAACGTTCTAAAGATCGAATATTGGACTGGCACTTTCCATTAACCCCTGAGCCGCCGAATACAATGTAACCCCTCCACCTCCTCCCCCGGAGTACGGGAGGCCGGCCGATCTCTAGGAGAGCCAGATCTCCTCCACCCACCAGGCCAGACTGCAGTGTCATCAAAGGGTGTACATAGGAGATGGGCACCCCACCCCCTCCTCTATCACCGCCCCCCACACTAACAGATCATGTCACATCCTAGTAAGGGGATCGGGCAGGTGACCGATGTGGGGGAATGGTGAACATGGACGACCCTCCTAATCATCCTGAGCCCAGCAGACACTCCCAGGACACAGTCCAGAGGTCACAGCTCCATCACAGCATGACTGGGCCAACACTTCCCATGTACCCATGTGTCAGCCAGGCCTAAAAATACCACCGATCACAGAAAATTACCAACAGCTCTCCATACATGTTACAATCGATGTCACCCCATACCAGACAACACACCAGACCGCATGCAATCTAATGAAAGAAAAGCTTCCCAAGCATCACATGACCGATTGATCGCAGACAGACGGCAACCACCACATATCTGACATTCCAATTTAAAGGGTCCCTGTCATTAGTACACCCTGTGCAAGCATATTCAATCCAACACTGAGATGCCAACAGGCCACCCGGGGCTCCAATCTCCGTAGATCCCACTGGATGGAAGATCTAAAGCTGGACATACACTGCTCGAATTTCAGGCGATTCCTGCTGACTCCGACGAAACTCGAGCAGTTTGTGGCCAGTTGTCAGAAACCAGCCGGCTCAGCAAAAGAATTGAAAGTGTTGGGTGGAAAACTGTCAGCCGAACATTGACTCCGTCCAATCAGATGCAGCCAGTAAGATGTATAGCCGCGGGTGCCAGCTACTTGAATACAGTAGCCAGCAGTGCAAATCCCTCCCACAATGTGGAATCTTAGATTGTCAGCTCATTTGGGCAGGATCATCCTCACCTACTGTTTCTGTATGTCAGTGATGCTTGTCAGCGTTTCTTACTTGTCTAAACGATTGTACAGCGCTGCGGAATATGGTGGCGCTATATAAATCATTGTAAATCGGCTGAGTTCTCTAGATCAGTCCGCAGGGGAGAAATCTAAACATGTATGGCTAGTCTCGGTGATCCCGAACAACTGCACGCGCTGCTGACACTTCTGGGTGTATCAGGTGGTATGTCCCCCTCCGCTGGGAGCTGTGGTCTCTCCTGCCAGTTACCACTGGACATGGCAGCAGCCAGCCGGTTACACCACAGTCCCCAGCACGGTAGACTGGAAACTGGCAGAAGGGTCTGATGATAGCAGCACCGGTATTTTACTCGCCACCTGCCATACAGGTACATATTCGACTTGTTCACCAGATCAGGTTATACTAGTGGCAGGGCCACTTAGAAAGCCTGAGAAAGATGCACTGCTAACACAGACGCCAACTTTGATTTCTCCAATCAGATACCCGCTGATCCTGCAGCCCTTCACTCGGTGACAACGCTTGTAGTGAATTAACAGCAGGGGTGTCACCCTGTGAAAGCTCCTCCTTACATATGCTGTGGAGTCAGGTTACCACTCATCTCCTCCTCCTAGCTGCCAACTGGTGCCAGGCATAGTCCAATGTGAATCTGGGGGATGCCCTCTACAGTCCTGGCAAAGGGAAACTTCGGCAGCCCCTGATGACATCACAGAGCAAAGGGGATTTCTTCACCCACTGAAGAGTCAGGTTACCACCACTGATCTCCTCCGCCTCGCTGCCAACCAGTGCCGGGCACATAGTCCAATGGGACGCCTGGAATCTGGAGGACGCCCTCTACAGTCCTGGTAAAGGGAAAACCTCGGCGACACGTGATGACATCACAGATCAAAGAGGAGGATTTCTTCACCCACTGAGGAGTCAGGTTACCACCGGGCACATAGTCCAATGGGACACCCGGAATCTGGAGGACTCCCTCTACAGTCCTGGCGGAGTGAAGACCTTGGCGCCCGTGATGACATCACAAAGCAAAGAGCAGGACTTCTTCGCCCACTGGCATCGGTGTGACTTGACAGAGCAGGGCTTTAGGTAGATTGTACAATCAGATTGTAATACAATTAGTAACGTTTACCGAAAAGGATGAACAAGCGCCTAATCCCCGCCAGCTTCAGGTGAGCTTGGCGTACCCCCTACAAAAACCACACGTTTAGCACCCATACCCAGTTCAGGCGCATAGATTTGGCAATGTAAGAAAGGCCAGCATTGGCACCGTTCATCCGGGGGGCGCTCAGCCCACCTGGAAGCTGACAGGGCTCAGGCACTCATGTGTACCACCCTGAAAGTCAGCAGCCATGCATGAGGCCCTTCCTTGAAGTCTGCAGGTCGGAACAGCCCACCAGTCCAGCTGATAAGGCTCCTCATGGTGCTGCAGGCCACCTATGTACCCCCAACCATTGCAGTAACAAGGGGTGCTGCACTCACCTGCCGAGTGTTGTCCATTCACCCCGCTGCTCTTGATCCAGGGGTTCACCTTAGGCGGGGGAGCTTCCACAAACTCCCTGCGCCCCAGCCCTTCGTCGCCCTCCGGTGCCAGCTCCTGCTTGCCCTCGTCTGAGTCCGGTGCCGCCGCTGGCTGCTGCAGGGGCGGCGGCATGAGCGGAGCCTCTACCTGAGTGGCCATGTCCCACCACCCCGGGCTGGCTCTCTCGTCTGTCTGTCTCTCTCTCTGCACGCGAAGGGCTGCGGCCTGGACGGCGGGCGCTGGTTCTGCTCAGTCACCGGGCGGCCCTCCCGAGGTTATACCGCTGCAATATGGAAGCCAAGGAAGACCACGCGATGGGGCAGTACGGGCACGCGCTCTGAGGCACGCCGACGTGCGCGCTCCACGCAGGGGGGAGGAGAGGGCGAGGCGGGGCGGAGTGTGAGGGGTTGGCTGCAGCTCCATTCATCCCGCTAAAGGGAACAGTGCAGGCTGGTGTAGAGTGCACAGCTCCTGGTGTGGAGGGTGTGTGTGTGTTTAAAAAGACATATTATAGCGCTCTAAAAACAAACCAGTGAACTTTGCAAATTATTTGGTAATCATTATATAACAATAAATATAAAATGCCATGTGGCTTGACATCTGGATTATTACACAGTCTTAGATTATAATATTTGCACATTATAAGGATCGAGCAGTGTAGAAGTGATTTAGGGAAACAGACATGACTTAATACGATAAAAGTTTCTCTTTTCTCCAGCAGCAGCAAATATATGAGAGCGTTTCCTATTGAGTTCCCAGCGTCACCACTTTGCTGCCTGAGCCGATTTTGCTCTCAGTTGGGGGAGGGGGTGTTGTGCTGACAGGCAAAGGTTATTGGTTCACTTGTTATTGGTTGGGGTTTTGGCAGGGGCAGTGCCGGATGGGCTAACAGCGCAGCTCTCTCTGGCAGCCCTCCTAGGTCACTGACGTCACTGGTTGCCAGGAGGCAAGCCACAGTGTCCTGCTCAGTTCTAGGCAACCAGTGGCATTAGTGAGCATGGCGGGACGCCGAAAACAGCAGCGCTGTTAGCCCGTCCGGTGCTGCCCCTGCCACAACCCCCACCCTCCCACAAGTGAACCGATAACCTTTGCCAGTCAGCAACTTGGGATGCTGTGGCTGGCCGCCTGACTCCCCCTCACCACCCAGCCGCCCCCCAATGAGATGCCACCTGAGGCAACCGCATAACACTACATTTTAGGGACGGCTCTGGATAGAAGAAGAGGGTGTTTTCCTGGGAATAGTGTTAATATGACAGTAAACTCAGGAGTGAAATCTTAAAAATACATTCAAATACCTAAACTAATAACAAACATGTATCTTATTTGTGTATCACTCAGCTGTAGATCCTCAAATCATCTCTGAATTGCTGACACTGTCCTTCCTTCTGGGGGTTGGCTACTACTTTTGTTCCCCATGGTCCCTGTGTGTGTTGTAAAGTAGTCACAGCTCCAAGCTCACTCCCGTGATGGACTACAATCTCATGTTTAGTTTACTAGTTTGTATTGGGACCATTAGAGGGAATTTATCAAAACTGGAGCAGACAAGATTTGGAGCAGATTTTCACTGCAACCAATCAGCTTCTCTGTCTCATTTTCAAATCTTACCTGAGCAAACTAAAGAGAGATGCTGATTGGTTGCCGTGGGCAACTGCTCCGGAGTCTGTCTGCTCAGGTTTTGATCAATTCCCCCCATTGTTTATCAATGAAGTTAATTTTCAGGTATTTTTATGTTAACTTCATTCTAAGAGCCGTTTACTCCAATAATATAATACAATTTGGGGCTAACTTGTAAAGGACGAAGAGAAGCAAAGTGTTTGTTGGCAACCAGGAAATAGATGTTTCTTCTAACAGTCTCACATGCAGTAAAAAAAAGTCTCAGATCTGATTGGTTGCTCTGGACAATACAGCCGTGTTGTATTTTACTTTATTAACCCTCTTATGTCTGAGCATTTTTCTTGTTGTGTTTTGCAGGTTGTTCTGTGACACACACAGCTTTCCTTTTCCATCCACTAGTTAGTAGAACGGATCTGTGAATATTCTCTATCATTTGGCTTGAGCGGTATGAGTCATCTGTACTTTCCTCTGTGTTGCATAGTGAACATGATATAACCCGTTTGTATCGCTGCTTTGGTGGCATTGTTTTTCTTTGTGGAAAGCGCATGCATTAAAGAGTACCTGTCACCTAAGAGTGTTTGGCAGGCAAGCAGATTCAAGTTCAGACAAAGTTGTCATGTGAAGTCTGTCAGTGCTTTGGTTGTTAAAATGCATCTAAAGCCAAAACTTTTATGTTTAGCTTTGCCTAGAGTGTTGAGGGGTTAAAGACCCTTTTAGGTTTTCGATGCTGCTTGTCAGTGGCCTCCCAAGTGGGGTGTGGCCCGCGCCGGGTGACACCAAAATGACTGACAATCATTGTTGTGTCACCCCATCAAGAAAGTCAGGCACTTGCTCATAGACCCAGAGCCCGACAGCTGCACGAAAGAGAAGGTGACGCGGCGGCATACCTTATCCCGCCGGATGAACGTCCCCTCCTCTCTGTGCCAGTGTCTATCACCAAGACGGCTGCCGGCAGGTAAATGCAGGTGATTCATTACGCGCATGTGTGATGATGTTGCGTTGTGCTTATTGACCTCATGTGCGTGCGTGATGACGTCCTAGCAGCCACACCAGGTGACACCCAGCTGTTCCTGCTGAAAAGATAAACCCTCTCTATATGTCCTGGTGATCATGGTCACTGAGACTGAAAGTTAATGAAAATAAAAATTTTTTAGTTGTCACCAGTACAAGAGTGAGGACAAATCTTTTAGGGCTCAGTGACACCATATCCAGTGCGTCCCGGTGCAGTTCACGCCCGGAACGCACTGGATCGCATACATGAAGGCGGGCCACGTTCTGAAGCAGGAGGGGGCGTGTCGGTGCCATTCATGTCAATGACACCTTAGACACGCCCCCCCTTAGACACCTTAGACACGCAGTGCAATCGCCCACACCGGAATGCGAGGTACAGGAATGCCCCTTGTTCCAGTGCAGTGCAATCTGAAAAAATGCAGCACTATTTTTTTAGATTGCACTGCACTGGAACGGAGGGAATTTCTGTACCTTGCATCCCAGAATGACCCGCTCCCGCCCCAGTACACGGCCCACTTCATGTATGCGATCCAGTGCGTTCCGGGCACGAAGTGCACCGGGACACACTGGATATGGTGTGACTGGGCCTTCAATGGGAGCATTTTTGATGAGTACAACTGTCTAAAGCTGGACATGCACTAATCATTTTTTTTTCTCATTTAGCCCCATGGCCTGAGCATGAAAAAGCGCTTGATTTCCCATCCATGCTAAGCAGCGTGAATGGGGGGATCCCCCCCCTCCCCGGGGATCCCCCCCCGCTGGGCTATTGTGTTGGCTTCAGTCACTGTTCGGCCAAGAATTTTCAGCCAGGCTCCTTCGACAAAAGTTGAAACATGGCAGTGTGCGGATGAGGGGGTGACATACTGCTCGAATCTCGGTCAACAGAACTCGGGTGAAACTCGAGCAGTGTATGGCCAGCTTAAGAAGTCATTTACCACATTTGTGAACATTTTCTCTTACCTCCTGTTGTTTCTACTGGAGGACAAGTGAAGGAAAATCTCCCCCCTGGGGCACATATGGCAAAAAACCTGAAGAGTTCATGCCATTTTTCTATTCTACCCAAAGAGGGAAAAAAGATTTGACTTTAGATATGTTTAAAGCGCAACTACAGTCAGCTATATACACCTCCACTCCAGCAATGCAATGTTCGTAAGCTCCCTCGCCGACTTCTTCCTCAACGTTCACCATCTTTGGCCATCTTGATGTCGCAAGCAGAAATACGCCTGTCGCTAGAAATAGTACATGAGCTACTTGTGGGGCAGATTTCAGCACGTTTTGTGCCATAGACTCAATAGAAAATGCTTGAAAACGCGCATTGCGATTTTTTTCACATGAATGTGCCAAAATCTGCTCAGAAAAATGTGCGACTTAATATACGAGCATATGACGCGCACCGAAATGCGCAAAAAACGATTTTAAAAGACGCATGTAAAACCTAGGTGTGAATGGAGCCTTAGGACTTGACCATGCCCGGACCAGATCTGGAGCAGATCTGCAAACCCAGTGCAGTGCATTTGTGTAGCGTTTTTACGGCAACTTTTTTTTTATTTAGCTGAAAATGGGCTTTCAGGTGCAGTCCAGTGCGTTTGCATGTGTTTTTGATGCATTTCCATGCGTTCTAGTGCATTCCAGACCAGAGAAAATGAGACAAGCAGGGCCCAGTCACACCTCATCCAGATCATCTCCAGACCATATTGTCTCCGGGCCCAAAATGCATCCCAATGTATCCCTATGCTATTTCTGGCCTCTGTTTACACCAGCACAGTCTGTTCCAGACCAGAAAAATACTGCATGTCTCATTTTGTCTGGTCTGGAATGCACTGGATTACATGCAAATGTATGCAAACACACTGGAACGCACCTGAAAGCCCATTTTAAGCTACAAAAAAAACATTGTAAAAAAACCCAGCTCCGGAACATGGCAAAATTGCAGTAAAAATGCAGCAAAAAGCAATGTACTGGGTTCCAGACCTGGTCCCAGCTCTGGTCCGGAAAATGGTGTGAACCAGCCCGCAGTATTTTTTTTTCTGAACCGGAACGGACTGCGTTGCTGTGAACAAAGCCCAGAAATACCATAGGGATACATTTTGGATGCTTTTTAGGTCCAGGAACAAACTGTTCTCATCTGGACATGCCATAAGGGTTCGTTCACAATGTGCCCATTGAGCTGCTTTTTCTGTACACCTCTGCACATGTATGATGAGAAAACGGCACATGGAAAACATGGTGTGAACATGCCCTAAGGCCCCTTTCACATGGGCACTGTCAGTTCCGATCAGCAGGGGTTCCATGCATGTATAGAGCAGCACATCTGTGTCGTTTAGTTTTTTTCTTCCAACTTTATGATGGAGGAAAAAAATGAACTTCCAGATCCCTGTTAGGTCTATGGGAAGTCGGATGTAAGCGGACATGTGTCTGTTTACATCAGATCACCCCGATCTGTTACATTTAGGCCTACCAAAACGGAACTTTTTTTGTTTTTTATTTCTGACCTAGATGGAGTCAGGGGTAAAAGGATGTACACTTATGCCGGTCCAGCTGCCCATAGAGTAACTTGGGGGCTCTGATAAGATCCAACTGAAAGGTGGACCAGGTCATACCCCCAATCTGAAAGGGCAGGTATGAAGATTTTATTGCAGAAGAAACATGGGGGGGGGGGGGGGAACCATTCACA